CAGGGCGGGGAGCTCGGATGTCAGCCCAGAGCAGGACTCTTCCTGCGAGGGTGGGGACCTGTCCCATGCCCCAGTCTCCTGGGGTGTCTGCAAGGTGCCCCTGGGGACACCGTGTGCCTGGAGTGTGCCAGAGCAGGCAGGGAGGGGCTCCCTCGTCTGCCAAGTTCCAGGAAAGGCCTGGCAGGCAGCACAGTCCTGGGCTCCAGGGCCTCCCAAGGTGGAGCTGGGGGAGGGATCCCAGGCTGCTGAAGTGCCTCACCTGGGCCTCAGCCCCCGTTTCCCAGGCATCACTGGCCCCTTCTTTAGCCAAAATCGAGGAGACAGTTGCCAACCTTCTTCCCACACATCCAGGCATACTTCCCACACATGTGCTCACCCAGCCAAAGCTCATCAAATCCCTCAGGCAGAGGCACTTTCACTGTTGTTGACTCCAACTTTCTACCTGATGTATGAAATCTGTCCACAATATCCCAGGCCAGTGTTCTGAAGCTGTTTGCATACCCATAGTGACGGGGACACTTTTATACAAGGCGGCCACTACCCTTCAGGTCTTCCCTGTCTCCAAGTCCAGTCACCTACAGGATACCTGCCCTCACATGGCCTAGGAGTGACTGATCTCACCCTCAGGTCCCTCATACCAGCTCCACCCCCTTTCCCACGGTGACCCTCCCACCCCTCAAACTCACCATGAAGGAGGATTAATTCTTAACTATTTTCCCTCCTTCACCATCCTATATCTGATCTATTACCAAATTCTTCTCTTTCTTGCTTTTATTACAACATGTATTATTTGTTACTTTCTTCACTTACCCTTCCTTTCCAACCGCGTAGATTCCACCTTTGGCCCAAATTCCCACAGTCACTGCCACACTGTCCTTTCTGACCCAGGTTTTTCCTTCCTCCTACACACCCTGCTGGAATTATCTTTCTCAAACACTGTTTATTGTGTGTGTTATCAACTTCAGACTCCTCAACCAAGCACACTGGGTACACCAGCTGCTAACCTGTGTGTTCCATATGAAGGGGCCCACACTCATTCGTGGTGTACCCAGACCCCAGAGTCCAGCACGGGCCTGATGCATAGCAGGAGGGGAGCCAATGTTCATCAAGGGTCCGATCCATTTGGTTGTGCTCCTTGCTCTCCGCCCAGTTCTCTTTCCTGGCTTGGTGTCCCCATTCTCATGAAGCCTATTGGCTTCCTGATACTTACGCAGGCCCTTTTGTTTTGAACAGCCCCAGTTTTTGTTTTTGGCCACACCGCGCAGCATGCGGGATCTTAGTTTCCCGACCGGGATCGGATGGAACTTGCGCCCCCTGCAGTGGAAGCACTGAGTCTTAACCACTGGACCACCAGGGAAGTCCCAGCTCTGGTTTTAAAATTTCCCATAATCTTCAGAGAGGGGTGGGGAAGAGAGAAGCTGACGTCCAAATTAACATCGGGGTTTGTGCCAAACATTAACTGCAAAGACCTTGCGTGTCAAGTGGAATGAGGGTAGCTGCCTGCTGGGAACCAGCAAGAAACAGAACACCACCGAGGAGGGTGGAGGGCAGAGAAGAGTGGGTGCAACCAGTGGCTTTGGGGTTTACAGAGGGATCTTGTTACTGGAGATTCCAGCCTGCCTAGCTCTGGGTCGCTACTCTGATGCCCTTAGGTTGTTCTTTTTTGGCACCACATCTCACACACTCACACACTCACACACACACACACACACACGCCCAGTGATCCTGGCCCCATCACACCTCATAACCCAGCTCAAAGTCTGATAATCTCCACCCCACTTGGATCGTGTTGTCATCAACTTCCCTCTGAGCCTCATGAGCTGCCTTCATTCTTTCCTATATTTTATTGCTTCATTATGTCCTGTAGTATTTTCATCCCCAAAGATTATAAGCTCCTTCATGGCAGGGACAGTGTTATTTATTTACTTACTTAATATCATCTGTTTTGAGAAGGAAGAATAAGATAGGGCACTTGGATTTTGGAAGCCACATAGACTTGGGTCTGGATCCTGGTTCCAGCACTTAGCTGTTTGGTCTTGGGCAAGTCTCAACTTTTTGGAGCCAGTTTCTCCACCTGTAAGAGGTGCTAGAGATACTTACCTTGCGGAATGAGAGGCAAAGATTACAGAGACTACAAAAGTGCCCGTTGCAAAGTGAGCAGACAATAGCTTGTCTTCCTTACCTGCGCCGTGGGAGCTTTCCTTGAATTGGGGGACAGGGTTCCTTAACTACCCCCCCCACCACTAAGACATTTCTAAGCGAGTAAAAGGACACTATTAACACTTACACCAGTTCCACGGACGTAACCTGGAATGCATGGCCACCCTACACTAACTCACAATAACCGGTGAGTGCAGGGTTCGGATCCAGCGCCGCCAGAACCCAGTGCCTAAGCATGGCGCCAAGCATAGTTCAAGCTGAATGAACGTCTGTCGAATGAACGAGTGAACGGAACCTGTCCTGCCCTTAGCTTCTTGGTGCATCAGCGAGTGAAGAAGCAAAGATTGACAAGGCCGCCCACGCCGCCTCCCCACCCGCACCCCTGTCACAAAGTCTCTAGCAGCCTCCTTTCGCTAAGGTCTCGCCTTCTCCAGCCCGCGTTCCCGCCCCTGGTTGCCTTGGAAACAGTGACGTATACGTGAGGGGCGTGACCTCTCTCCATCCTCTCGCGGAGACCCGGGCCCCTTCTTACCCCAACCCGGGGGGAGGATGAGGTTGGGGTCCTCGACCCTGCTGATCCACTCCGGGCCTGGAACTAACCCTGTCCATCTGGTCCCCATCTCGGGCGCGGGACTCGCCGGATTGCGGGCACCCAATCCCCAGCCCACCCGGCACCGGTGAGCTGGCGGGGTCCGGAGAACGCCGGCTTCAGTTCCTGGGATCACTCTTCACCCCTTCACCCCCGACAGGCCAGTGGATCCGGAGAACCGAGGCCCAGCGCTCAGCCTAGGCCCGCTTCTTCCCAGGCAGCCCTCGGGCGTGCTGCGTGTCCTGGGGGTGGGCGGGAAGGGTGGGGCCCCAGGGCGCGCCGAGCCCCGCGGAGCGCGGGAGAGAAGGAGTTAAACAAGGTGCAGGCGCCGGGCGCGGCGGGAGTGGGGGATGGGAGCGAAGGGAAAGTGAGAGCTGGGGCGGGGGCGGGGGCGGGGGCGGGGGGGACGGGAGCGAAAGAACATCCTGTGCCCGCCGCCGGATGCGCCGGGGGGGGGGGGGGGGGGGGGAGTGGGGGGGGGGGGGAAGGCAAGAGGGGGGGAGGCTCGGGGCGGGGAAAGGCGCGGCCTCCGCCCCACACTCGGAAATCCTTCTGTGAGGGCGCCGCCCCCTCCGCTCCCCGGGTTTGCCGCGTTTCTTCCAGTCCCCACTCCTTCGCTGGAGTCACGAGCTACCGAGAGGCCCCCCAGTCTGGTCCTGGGCAAGCACGAGTTGGGGAGGGCACGGTCCCGGAGAGCGTGGGATCCCTGTCAGGGCACGGGCTGTCCCCCAGCCTTTCATCTCTCGGCTTTCTGGCTTTCTGCTGGGGCAGCTCGCACGTGCTGCGCTTCCGCTGTTCACCGAGAGTCACAACGTACATTCTCTCATTCAGTTCTGACAGCGCACTTCCGTGTAGTAGGCAGGTTTTCCGGAGGAGTAAACTGAGACTCAGATCATGGAACTTGCCCAAACCCAAGCTCGTCGGACTCCAACGGGCTTTTCATTCGAGAGTAGGGTAATTTACCCTTAGCTTCTCCTGTGCATGCAAGCGCCGGGCCCCTCCGGGGTCCCCCTCCTTAACGGCCTGCTTGCACAGTAGGTCCCCAATAGCGTGTTAGGCTCCTCTAATTAACTAAGCTGAAACACCCATTACCAGAGTCCTGATAGAATAAGCAGGTAGTCTGAGGGTTTTACAGGTGGGAGGATGGTTTGTAGGAACAAAGTAGCTCAGGGGAACGGGCTGGATCCCCGTAGCGCTCCTGGTTTAGAAATTTGGTGGGGGAGGGGGGTTCAAAGAGGGCTCCAGAGTTGTTCAAGGCAAGTTAATGGGTTACAGGAGTTGAGATTGATTAGCTTGAAGACGACCAGAGTGGGAGGGGTAGAGGGTGAATGGAAGGGGCTGAATAATGTGCCTTTCAGGCCTCACAGAGGCCCACCATCTGTGTGCTCACTGCCTTGCCATGCCCAACATTTTTGTCCAGGTGAAACCTGCTTATAATAGTAATTATTGTCGCGTTTGGTGAGCTCTGTGTGCTGGGCACTGTTTCAAGTACTTAATCCTCTCAAACCCAAGAAGTAGGTATTATTATTCCCATTTTACAGGTGGGGAAAATGAGGCACAAAAAGATTACAAAGCTAGGTCAGTAGCTGAGCTGGTTTTGAACCCTGGCAGTCTGGGTTGAGCCCACACTCTCACTCACTAAATAAACTGCACCTAACATGATGGGAACATTAGCCTTAAAGGTAGAAAAGCTGGTGCAGATGGCAGAGAGGTGTGTACTAGGGCAGCCCGTGTCCTTTTGCCTTGGTGAGGGCGGGTAAGAAACTTAGGGTTGGCTGTGTGTATATGGAATCTGACTTCTCTCGAGCCAATATTCCAAATTTTTGAATATGACAAAAAAACAAGAAAAACAAAATCCAAGTTCTCACAAAGAGCTGCAGCCTTCATTTATGCTCCCTAAGAACGTTCACTATCATCTGTTGTCACCATCATTTCACAAAAGCAAGTACATTTTAATTCTCCTCAAAAGAAAACAGACATCATCTGAATCAAAAGCGGATACTCCTGGGAGCTTCCCTGGTGGTGCAGTGGTTAAGAATCCGCCTGCCATTGCAGGGGACACGGGTTCGAGCCCTGGGCCAGGAAGATCCCATATGCCGCGGAGCAACTAAGCCCGCGGGCATGACTACTGAGCCTGCGTTCTAGAGCCCGCGAGCCACAACTACTGAAGCCTGCGTGCCTAGAACCTGTGCTCTGCAATAAGAAGCCACCACAATGGGAAGCCCGCGCACCACAATGAAGAGTAGCCCCCAGTCACCTCAACTAGAGAAGCCCGCAACCCCGCACAGCCAAAAATAAATAAGTTTAAAACAAAAACCAAAAGCAGTTACTCCCAAGAAAGGACAGTCCTTGACTGTCCACCAATGAATACACATTCCTCTTTTTTTAAAATCGTGCTGTGGACTAGCAGAAATGTCACACTGGGGATGCCTCTGCTTCTAATACATCCAAAACATTTGAGGGCAGAACCCAAAGGAATGGGCTTAGGTATATATAGCAGGAGGGAGTTAGGTTAGAGCCAAGAAAGAACTCTCCTTCTTTGGAGATCTTTAAAGAGCAGGTGAGTACTGCATTTGCTTAGAAGGTGAGGGTTGCAGGATCAGCTACATGGACTGGGGAGGCCAGTAGCTCTGGGTTCCACCTCAGAAAAGGACCAATCCTCAGATCTACCAGGGGAGCTGGAACCTAAAACAGTCCCTTCAGGCAGCCATTTCCTGCCTGGAGTTCATGGAGCTTGATAGGTGGTCCCATGGTAGTGGGGGGGGGGGTGGCCTCCAGGGGCCTCTGTCACCCTTCACTACAGGGAGTCCGTGTAGTCACCCACTGTTGGGCTGCACCCTGCAGGCCTGTAAGCCTTATAGTTGCTCAGCCTTAGACTGAAGAAAGAGCCCGGAACAGCAACAGAGACATTCATGGTGCCGAATTCATGCCGGCGAGGCGGTATAAGAACAGCCCACAGGGTTAATATAATGGTGCCTTTCTCCAGTGGGAGCCTGGATTAATTACCTTAGTAGTCTTAGGTGGAGCCGGGAATAAACCAGGTGAAATCTGTAAATCCCTTTCCAATCCTATTCCCCATGGGACAGCAAATGCAAACCACCAGAGACTTACCTGCCAGTCCCAGGACCATGGGAGAGTGTGTTCCTCTGGGGTAGATCCTGTAGCGAAGGTAGCGAAGGCAAAAGTGAGTTACTGTCCTGAGAGATAGTTGGCAGCGGTCTTTCGGTGGTCAACAGTTGAATTTGGATTGTATTGACTAGTTGCCTCGGGGTTAACATGGCCCTGGGATGATTGCTCCTCGGGTGTTCAGCTGCAGTTCATAGAGCTTGAGTGAACCTCTGGTCCACCTGTTGAGAGAGCGGGTTTTCGTCTCGATTGTTAAGTAATCCTTTCATCCTTTCCATTAGCCCGGCAGGAGTGGGGTCGTAAGGCAGGTGGAAATGCCAGTGTGTGTCATTTTTAGCCGCCCATTCCTGAACTTCATGACTGGTACAGTGGATTCCTTTGTCACTGTTGATGTCCGTGGGGTCCTGTATATCACACACAGCTGTACTAGACCCCAGATAGTGGTTTTTTGCATCGCTAGATGACTCGGGTAGGCCTTTTGTAACGTCTTCCACCTGTTGTCAGCTGCATATAGCTGTTGTTCCATCATGCGGTATATCATTGCTCTGCCCGCTTCCACAGCAGGGGTCAGAAGCCCAAGGGTACTCTTATTTTGTTGTAGCACAGGCCCCAACCAAACTTTTCCAGGTAACTGGCCATGTCCAATTCACAAGACTGTCCCTGAATTAATATCCTCTAAAGCCTGTGTCTAATTGTTTAGGGGTAAGAGGCTGGGGGTACGCTTGTCTTTTGTAGATAATCCAGGTCCTTGCGTTTGGTCTGTATTCACCAGCCATCCCCGTGCAGTCAGATGAGCCACCAGCATAGGGCTGCTACTTTTAAACTGGAAAGAGGCTCTGAAGTTAACAGAGTAGAAGAGAATCAATATAATGGAAGAGAAAGACACCTCTCATGGTAGTCAGCTGCCACAGGGCCCCACAGGCTAGTGGACGGCCACCTCAGGATGACCCCTGCAACCTTCCATTCCCTGTCCTTACTTCACGACATCTCGGTAGCTTCTTCGGCCTCCTGGCTGGCTCCCCAGTCGTTGGGCTGCACTGTGCAGTCCTGAAAGCCTTGTAGTTGCCCAGCCTCAAGATTGAAGAGTCTGGAGACAGCAACGAAGACATCAGTGGTTTATTGGACAGGGGTGTCTTAAGCAAAAGGTTAAGACCCACCAATCATGGCAACACCCCACCGATTATGGCAGGCAGGCCATGGCAGCAATCTTTGCTACTCGGGGAGAGGAGACTACTATTTATAGGGAGAATTGACGTCAGGTTGACTTATCAGTTACCAGGGAAACCAGCTGGGGCACATCCGTCACAGCCCCTCAGATTAATGACTATCACGAGGGCAGATGTTTCCCTTTAATAAATTAGCAGGTAGAGCAGGGATTAGATCAGTCACTAGCTGGGGCGGGGGGCAAACATGTTCACGTGAGTAGGGCACAGGTGGAACGGACTGGTCGAGCAGAGGATGTACAAAGAGCAAGAGAACAGCCATCTTGAATGGCCTGACCATACATCCACCTTGGGACTGTGTAGAGTGCCAGGAATGACCCTGGAGGAGGGCCGGGGATGGGAGGGAAGAAAGGAAGAGAATGGCCCCCTGGGAGTGTTGCCTGCAGCCTAGGGTGACACGGACGAAGGCTCTGAGCGGACAGACCTGGCTGGCTGCAGCATCCTTGGGGATGCCGTTTCCCTATTTCCCCACCTCCTGCAAACCCAGGTGCAGTCCAGGGCCCAGAGCCGTCCAACAGGAGCTCAAGACCAGGCAGCTGAAGCCCTGTTCTGGTACATCTCCGCTCAGTGCTGGCTCTAGGTCTGAGCCTGGCTTGGGTTCCTCCCTGTTCTGTACCGGAAGGTGAGACCAGAGGGTGTGGGGACACTGGGGGTGGGGGAAGGAGAAGAAGGGAAGGGTCTGGTCTCACCTGCCCCATCCTGGTGGTGGAGGTGGTGGAGACTGAGGCCTCCAAAGTTGGGTTCTCATCCTCCAAGGTGGTGGCATTTTCTGACTCCAGAGGAGGCCTCAAAGCCCATCCCACCCTGTGTGTATGTTGTGGGGCATAGGGTGTGATACTCCCAGATTTAGGCCTCCATGGTTTAATGGCACAGACCTACCCCAGGTTTAACCCTGGAGATTTAGAATGCTAAACCTGGATCCCCTCAGGTTACAAATACAGAAACTGAGGCCAAGGCAAGGGCAGTCCCCTTCTCCTCCAGAGTCACACTGGTTAAATGGGCCTGGAGCCCCCGTCTCCAGATTCTCTGACGTGTTCTCTCCTCAAGTCCTCAAAGAATGACAGAAGCCATAACTTGAGCATCTACTAAGTGCAGGACTCTGCTGGATGTTGGAGACGCAGAGACAACTGCCCTCAGGAGCTTTTGGTCCACAGGTAAATATACACAGAGAGGAACAAGCAGATGCTGGAAAATGATGGATTGGCCTCGAGACTCTGCAGAACTTTGTAAGGTACTTGCCTCCTCTTCGTCCTGTGATGGAAGTGGGGGGCCCTGCCTGCAGAAATGCCCCCAGGCTCAGAAGTGGATCTGTGGTGAAGAGATCAAAGATGGGGGGACCAGGGAAGTGAGGGAACAGGGCTGCCAGTGGGCACACCCCAACGCCCCCCAAAAAACTTCCAAAGGCCCCCGTCCATAAATTGGGCCTCTGCTGCCATCTAATGGAAGAAAGGTAGCCTCTGGAGCTGCCTGCTGGGGCCCCACCAACCTGGCTCCCCTAAAAAAGAGGGATGTGAAGGACCTTCCTGCCCACAGACCTTTTATTCCTCTGGGGTCTTAAGCTTTGTTTCCTGCAGCCTCTGAAGCTCCCTGGCTGCCCCCCGACCACCACCCTCCATCCCACTGTTTCCCCAGTTTCCTTTGTTGCCCAGGTTCTGATTCTGGTGCCCTGGTTCCTGGCCCTGCTAGAGTTCTGGTTCCAGAAGGCCTTTGCTAGGTGCCTCGGGCATGTGCTGCATCCCCCAGTGCCGGGGGTAAATGGACATCTGGAAAGGTGTAGTGAGCCTGGCCACAGCCGCTGGGGCCATCTGCCTGCTCTACAAGGCCATCAGGGCGGGCATAAAATGTCAACCACCGCGCTGCTCTGCCTCACCCATCTGCGTCGCCCGTGAGTGTCCCCACCCTGGGGAGAGGGCTCGGCCCCAGGGGGTACCTACTCCCCAGGTCTCCCATGTGGGAGGGCCCCAAGGGGGCTCCTCCACGTTCCTTTCTCCTTCCCCTTTCTCACCTCCATCTCCCTCAGAGCCACCCTAGAGATGCTAGCGCAGGCTCCCCAGGTAGTGGGTGGCACTCAAGTGCCTCCTCGGGAGTCATCTGGCAGGTTTCTAAATTCTACATTCACTCTGGCATCCAGGAGCCACTGCTTGGAAACTTTGCATCAGCAGTTCTCCCCAAGGGAAGATTGGGGGACCTACATTCTCAGAGCCTCCACTAGTCCCTATGACAACTTTGTGCAAAGTAGAGAAAGGAACCCCTTCTGCAAGACTTTGTATTGCCATCTGCTGGAATATCATTGCCATATACCAATTATGATGAAATACTACATATTACTGCCATATGCCAGAAAGTTGTTATAGTAAACATACAAAATTTTTTTGTTTACGATATGAACAATACAGCCTTAGATGTGGTGCCCTTGTGCAATACACACCCTGTTCAACTGTACATGGTGGTCCTGCATATAGCAAGAAGTCTTTTCTTCAGAAAAGGCAAGGCAGCCTTGTCCCCAGGTCTCTCTCCCATGGCTTCCCAAACCCCGTCTTTCCTCACTTCTGAGTCCACAGCCTGAACTGGGCTGGGGTGGCTGTCTAGGCCTGGCAGTTGAGCGAGAGCAGCACGGGCGGGACTCAGGTGAGCTCCGGAGGCTCCTCAACTCTTTGGAGTGCAAACAGGATGAGTACGCCAAGAGCATGATCCTGCACAGTATCACGCGCTGTGTGTACTTGCTGGAGTCCGAGGTGAGGGAAGGGAAGCAGGAGGTCCTTCCCAGCCAGCCTGGCCCCTGGGGGCTACATCTGTCCCCCTTCCCCCTTGAGTAGCCAGACTGTGTCCTGGGACCTCTCTCTGGCTGATGGCGGGAGGGGTTGTGTTGAGGGGTTTTGGTGACATGGGGGGGTAGGGGGACCAGGACACCCGCTTCTCCCGCCTCTTCTGCCTCTCCTGGCACACTCTAGGCCTCTGCATGTACTAATGATGACATCACGTTGGTGGGCTCCATGCTGGATGACAAGGACAACAGTGTCAAAATCCAAGCTCTGAACACACTTAAAGCTTTCTCTGGCATCAGAAAATTCAGGCTGAAAATCCAGGTGAGCCCAGCGACAAGTATGGGGCAGAGCACATAGATGTCCATAAGCCATGGGCCGTTTAGTGGGCATAGGATGAATGGTCATGTTCCAGAAGTTTGTTTGGGTCTGAATTTGTAACCCAGAAATATGTTTTTCCTTGGAAGTAGGTGGGAAAATGGTGATCAGATTCCCAGTAGGGTCATAAATGTCTGGATCTCGGGATAAAACTGTGCTAGGTCCCTAGGAGTATCTCTGAACCCCAAACAGCAGAAATTCCCCAAGTTCTTTCTGACAACAGCCAACTCTCTTGACGGCAACTGGGTGTCCTACAATTCAATTCTGACACTATCTGCCTGGAGTTAGTACAGACCCCACAGCTTAGGGCTGAGTCCTGTAAGACTGCCCCCCACTTCTGATTGACCAGCTGTAGATTTGGAGGTTCCCATGCCCCCTCTCCTCAGGCTTGATAATTCACTGGAGCGAGTCACAGAACTCGGGAAAATGCTTTACTTACACTTACCAGTTTATTATAAAAGATATAACTGAGGAGCAGCCAAATGGAAGAGGTGCATAGGGCAGAGTATGGGGGAAGGGCTTCCATGACTTCTCCAGGTGTGTCACCCTCCTAGCACCTCGATGTGTTCACCAACCCGGAAGTTCTCCAAACCCTGTCCTGTAGGGGTATTTATGGAGGTTTCATTATGTAGGCGTAATTGATTAATCATTGGCCATTGGTGATTGAACTCAATCTCTGGTTCCACTCTTCTCCGCAGAGGTCAGGTATGGGGCTGAAAGTTGCCTTGAGTTGCCTCATTTGCATAAACTCAGGGATCATGGAAAGGGGCTCATTATGAATAACAAAAACCACTCCTATCAGGAAATTGCAAGGATTTTAGGAACCCTGTGCGTGGAATCAGGGACAAAGACCAGATATATTATCATACCACACCACCACGCTGTGTTGGTCTGAGGCTGGTGGCTGGGCCACTGATGTCTTCACTACCACCACGCAGAGAAAATATAAGCCACCAAATGTCAGTTCCCCCAGCTTCCTGCTACTAGGCCTCCAGGCTTACCTGTTACTCATCCATTCCTGCTTTCCTGCTGGTGCCATGAAAAAATGGCTTTCTTCCTGTCTGTGTTCAATGTTAGTCTCAGTCCTGGATCCCATCCGCTTCCCTGAGGGCCTCTCTCCTTGATTAAACTCTGTCTGATATGGCCTCCCCCCTGCTCCTTCCCAGTAGTGTTCAACAAGCTCTATTCTTTCCCATCTTAAAAGGCAAAACCAAAAAAACATCTTCCTTGACCTCCAAGTCTCTCTCTAGCAAATGATCTCTCTCCCAAAATATTTTACTTAAAAATAAGTGGTGCGCACTGGTGGCGCAGTGGTTGAGAGTCCACCTGCTGATGCAGGGGACATGGGTTCGTGCCCCGGTCCGGGAAGATCCCACACGCCGCGGAGCGGTTAGGCCCGTGAGCCATGGCCGCTGAGCCTGTGCGTCCGGAGCCTGTGCTCTGCAACGGGAGAGGCCACAAGAGTGACAGGCCCACGTACCGCAAAAAAAAAAAAAAAAAAAAAAAAATTAAAATATTCAGAACTTGCAAACATTTTATGCATGTATGGTAGAAAGAAAAAGAATAAAACAAAACACACGTAACCAGAACCCAGGCTAAGAAATAGAACATGACCAGTTGGTTAGATGCCCCAGATGCCCCTCCTTAATCACCGCCTCCTCCCCCACCAGAGGCAATCATTCCTATGTATTTTGTTCATCAATTTCTTGATTTTCTTTGTAGTTTTACCATATACACATGTGTCATCATTTTCTAGCAGGGCACGGCAGACAAAAATAGGTAACATAGTTAGAATGTTTTTAAGCTTCATGGATCTGGAAGTATGCAGTTTTGTATTCTGCGGTTTGCCTTTTCCCTCCAACATGGAAAGATTCGTCCTTATTGATGTGAACTGGTCTGTTTCCTTCTTTTGCACTGCTCTGTAGTGTTCTAGTTCATGAATACCCTGCAGTCTTATTCATCCAGCTGCCCATGAGTAGGCATTTGAGTTGTTTGCACATTGTGCCATGAGCATTCTTTACACATCTCCCTCGTGGACATGTATGCAGGAGTGGGATGGTCGGGTGAAAGGTATGCCCAGCTTTTCAAGAAGGGCCGTATCACTTTACACCCTCCACCAGCCCCGCATGAGTGTTTCTGGTGCATCATTTCTTCCCTGACACTTGGTATTTTTGCACTTTAAATTTTTTGCATCAAACTTTTTTGGGGAAAAAAAAGGTCTCTAGGTCTCCACTTGCTGGCTGCCTCTACTTTATCCCTCGACCCTCTCAGTTGCCCTAAGGCTGTGATTCTCAAGCATATCAGAATTGCCTGGAAAGCTGGTTAACAAATGAAGATTTCAGGGCATTACATCCAGAGGGTCCAGTTCAACAGGGAAGCTGTGTTTTTCACAAGCCCCCAGAAGATTCTGATGCACGTGGCCTGGGCACCACTGTTCCTTCTTTCCCAGGGTCTGTATCCTGAGGACCTGACCCCTGTTCTCCTCTCTCTGGGTGAATGCAGCCACTCCCTACTGAGGGGTGGGGGCAGGGAGGAGCAGGGTACTAATGGGAATGCTGTGCTCCCCACTCCAGGCTTCTGGCATCCTTCTTACGTGGCTCACAAAGGTACAGCTTGTAAGAGTATCTGCCTTTGGTAATAAGGCCCAAGCATCTTGCAGCTCAGAAGCCAAAATTCCTTTTTTCTTTCAACAAATGTACATTGAGCACGTACTTTGTGTCCAAGCACTATGCTAGGCACTGGAGACACAGCAGTGAACAGAGTGGGAAAGATCTCTGCCCAGTGGAACTTATATTGCCTGCAAGGCAGGCAATACACAAATAAGTGTAATATATGGTGTTTCACGGGGCAAGTGCTATGGAGAAAAATCAAGAAGGGTGGTAAGGAAGGCTGGCATGGGGGTGCTGTTGCAAGGGGGTGCTGTTGCAATTTCAAAGGAGAGAATCTTTGGGACCTAGGGCTTGATAAAGAGGTCATAGAAATGACACCGAAAGCACAATCTATAAAAGAAAAAAATTGATAAACTGGACTTTATCAAAATTAAAAAAAACATTTGCTTTGTGAAAGACCCTGTTAAGAAGATGAAAAGACAAACTGCAGATTGGAAGAAAATATTTGCAAACCACATTATCTGACAAAGGACTCATATCTAGATTATATAAAGAACTCCCCAAACTCAACGTCAAAAACAATAATAATCCAGGCTTCCCTGGTGGCGCAGTGGTTGAAAGTCCGCCTGCCGATGCAGGGGACGCGGGTTCGTGCCCCAGTCTGGGAAGATCCCACGTGCTGCGGAGTGGCTGTGCCCGTGAGCCGTGGCCGCTGAGCCTGCCCGTCCGGAGCCTGTGCTCCGCAACGGGAGAGGCAACAGCAGTGAGAGGCCCGCGTACCGCAAAAAAAAAACAAAAAACAAAAAACAATAATAATCCATTTAGAAAATGGGCACAAGACATGGAGATATTTCACTGAAGAGGATATACGAATTGCAAATAAGCACATACAAAATGTTTAACATTTAACTAGCCATTAGGGAAATGCGAATTAATACCACAATGAGATATTACTATACACCTATTAGATGATTTAAACTCCAAATTAGTGACGATACCAAATGCTGGTGAAGATGTAGAGAAACTGGATCTCGCGTATGTTGCTGGTGGGAATGTAAAATGATAGAGCAGCCACTCTGCAAAATAGTTCGGCGGTTTCTTTAACGAACTCTTTTCCCATACAAACCAGCAATTGCACTCTTGGGCATTTATCCTGGAGAAATAAAAACCTACATCTGCCAAAAAACCTGTTCACAGTTGTTCGTAGCAGCTTTGTAATGGTCAAAAACTGGAAACCAAAATGTCTCTCAGGAGATAAATGATTAAACAAACTGTAGTAGTCCATATCATGGAACATTACTCAGTAATAAAAAGGAATGAACTACTGATACACACGACCACTTGGATGGATCTCAAGGGCATTATACTGAGTGAAAAAATCAATTTCAGAAGGTTACAAAATGTGATTCCATTTTATATAACATTCTCAAAAATGACAAAATTAGGGCTTCCCTGGTGGCGCAGTGGTTGAGAGTCCGCCTGCCGATGCAGGGGACACGGGTTCGTGCCCTGGTCTGGGAAGATCCCACATGCCATGGAGCGGCTGGGCCCGTGAGCCATGGCCGCTGAGCCTGCACGTCCGGAGCCTGTGCTCCGCAACGGGAGAGGCCACAACAGTGAGAGGGGCCCGCATACCGCAAAAAAAAAAAAAAAAAAAAAGGACAAAATTAGAGAGATGGAAAACAGATTAGTGGTTGCCGCTGGTTAGGGCTGGTTTTGATGGGCGGGGCTAACTGTGACTAATAAGGGACCCACAAGGGAGATCTATGGTGATTCTGATGGAATAATCTATTAATTGCAGTGGTGGTTACATGAAGCTACATATGTGATAAAATGACATGGAACTATACATACACATGGTGCTAATACCATTTTCCTGGTTTTGAAAATATACTGTAATTAAGATGTAGCTATTGAGGGAAAACTGGGTGGAGGGCACATGGGACCTCTCTGTACTGTTCTTGCAACTTCCCATGAATTTATAATTATGTGAAAATAAAAAGTTTAAAAACAAAAAGTGTGTGCATATTGACAGTGCTATGGGGGAAAATAAAGGTGGGGATAAGGGAGGCAGGGATGGGAGTGGTGCTGCCGTCTTAAAGGAGCGGGTGGTTAGGGAAGACCTCCCTGAGAAGGTGACATTAAAGCAAAGTCTTGAAGGAAGTAAGAGTGAGCTGTGAATAGCTGAGGAGGGAGAGCATTCTAAGCAGAGGGAACACCATGTGCAAAGACCTAAGATAGGTGTGTACCTGGCATGTTCAGGGAATAGCTAAGGCCATTGTGATGGAAACCATGGGAGCAAAGGAGAGAATAGGAGATGAGGCCAAAGAAATAATGGGGGGAGAGGGACAGATCATGTCAGACCTTGTAAGCCACTGTAAGGACTTTAGCTCCTACCCTGAATGAACTAGGGACTCGAGCAGTCCAGCCTGCTGTTCTGAGAATAGATGCAGGGGACAAGGATGGAAGCAGGGAGAAGGAGGCTATCGCAGAAACCCGGGGGAGAGGTGATGGTGGCTTGGAACAGGGTGGTAGAGGGGGGTGGTGAGAAGTGTCTTGATTGTTGGTAGATTTTGAAGGTAGAGCCAACAGGATTTTCTGAAAGATTGGAAAAGGGTGTGAGGGAAAGAAGAGTCAAGGAAGAACATAGATTTTTGGTCTGAGTAATTGGAAGGCAGGTGTAACGAACAGCTGAGATAGGAAGGGTAGTGGAAGGAGCAGGTTTGGGAGTGGGAACGTGTTGACTCAGAGGTTTAGTGAGATTCTCGGAAGTGGAACTGGCACTTGCATATATGAGTCTGGAGTTTAGGGAGAGGTCTGGGCTGGAGATAGCAACTTGAAAGTCATCAGCACTGAGTCTGTATCACTAAGGGAGCGATGAAGACAGAGGAGGCGGTTGGGCAGAAGAACTGGGAAAGAAACGTGACGGAGAAGCCAAGTGAAGAAAGAGTTTCAAGGGGGTGAGAGGGGTCAACTAGGTCAAATAATGTTGAGAGTTAAAGTGGGGAACTGTGTGTGGGGTTGGCTCAGTTTTTGTGGGCGGGGGCAGTGAAGAGTGAAGGCAGAGGCAGGGCTAATGTTGAGGATTATCATATAAAAGTAGAAAACCCTTCTCCTCTCCCCCCTCCCTAGGAACACTCCATCAAGGTGCTGGAACTGATCTCCACCATCTGGGACTCGCAGCTGCACATTGCGGGCCTCAGACTCCTCAACAACCTCCCACTGCCTGACTTTGCACATCCACAGCTGCGAAGGGTGATGCCTGCCTTGATGGAGATCCTGCAGTCAGACTACATCCTGGCACAGGTGCCTGAGGACCAGAGCCCAGGCCCTGCCCTCCTGACCAGCCCTGGCACAGCACCTAGAGGGAGGAGCCGAGATTTGTGTCTTCCCTGCTCAGGCCCACCTGTCTTCTCATTCTTTACCCTTTCCTTTATTCAGGTGCAAGCCGCGCGATTGCTGAGCAACCTGGCGCAGAAGAACGACCTTCTCTATGATATTCTCAACTGCCAGGTGAGAAAAGAACTGAAAGACGGGCTAATGGATGTGAACTCAGATATTGTGAAAGGAAGAATCGTGGATTCTTCAGACAGACTTAGCCCTCACAAAATCATCTTGTTCCTCTTTCTGCCTCTGCACTAGATACATTGCAAAGCACCCCCTCTTTTGTCTTCCCAATACAATCAGATTTTCCTTTGCGGGACTTTCTACACTCTGAGAGTCAGGAACACAGGTGACAGAAGTTAATGTAGGTATTTTAACATTAGGGGAAAATTACTTATAACAAAAATAATTATTAGGAATAGACAGGGTCACTACATAATAATTGTTCAGAAGGATAAAGCAACTCTAAACTTATATGAACTTAGTAACAATCTCAAAATATGTATATGGCAAAACTTGATAGAATTATAAGGAAATCGTTTTTTCAGTTTTATTGAGGTATAATTGACAGATAAATTTGTAAGATATTTAAAGCATATGTAGTAAATCAACTATACCCCAATAAAAACTAAATATATATATATATATATAAAACTTAATTATACTAAAAAAAAGTGTATGTTATGGTGACTTGGTATACGTTGTGAAAAGATTCCCACCATCTAGTTAATTAACACATCCGTCACCTCACATTTTGTTTGTTTTTGGTGAGAACATTTAAATTCTACTCTCGTAGCAAATTTCAATTATATAATAGTGTTATCAACAGTACTCACCATGTTTGCATTAGACCCTTGGATCTTATTCATCTTTTAGCTGAAAGCATGTACCCTTTTACCAACCTCTCCCTATTTCCCCCACACCCCACCCCAACCCCTGGCAACCACTTTTCTACTGTTTCTGTGAGTTTGACTTAAAAAAACTTCCACATTTAAGTGATACCATGCAGTATTTGTATTTCTCTTTCTGGCTTATCTCACTTAGCATAATGTCCTCTGGGTCCATCCATATTGTCACAAATGGCAGGATTTCATTCCTACAGCTGAATAATTGGAAAGAAAAATGGACATACCTATCACCACAGTGGAAGATTTGGAAGATTTTAACTATTCTTTCAGAAATTAATACATAAATACCTAAACCTAGTAAGGTTCTACTTGCTGCAAATAACACAAATAAGCTTGAGCCATTAGACATATCCAGAACACTCTACAATTAGTAAATGCACATTCCGCTCAAGTACACAAAATATTTACAAAAATTAACCACATGCTAAGCTTTAAAAGTTTACCTCAACAAATTTCCCTGAATCGATATTATCATATCACTCATGTTTTATGACCACAATGAAATTATGTTAAAGAATGATAATGAAAACTAAAAAATTCCTATACAGTTGGATCTGAAACTTAGGTATATTGGGGAGTTGAGGCAATAGGAGGATGGAGGAACTTTAGAATTTACCTTGGACTTCATTCCTCTCTCCATCCCACTCACAGGTACACTCCAACTTCCTGAACCTGTTCCAGTCTACACAGCCCGGGAGTCTGCTGCTTGAAGTACTGGTGTTTGCAGAGCGGCTGAGTGAGGGCCGGAGTTCACCCCACTACCGTGCTGTGAAGTGGCATTACAATGAACAGTCTGTGCACGAAGCTGTCTTTGGGGATGACTCACGACTGGCAGACCGGCTGCTTGCCCTGGTCATCCACCCCGAGGAGGATGTTCAGATCCAGGCCTGCAAAGTCATAGTCAGCCTGCAGTGCCCCCAGGATGTGGAAGTCTGGCCCTCCTGCCTGTCCAGTCATTCCTGCTTTAATAATGCGGAATAAAATTATGGAGAGCCGATAAATGAGTATGGGAGAGAAGCTTGAGGGGCAGTGTCTGTCCAGGGCCTTCCAGGGTGGGTGTAGATTTCAGCCAGCATAACTTCCTGTCAAAGTGTGGGCCTGTCTCCCCAAACGCATTCCCTGTTTAGAGGACAGACTCCCTTCTCTTGCTGCTTTTATTTATTTTGTTGAGTGATAATTTTTATTGGAGCATAGCTGATTTATAATTTTGTGTTAGTTTCTGCTGTACAGCAAAGTGAATCAGTTATACATATACCTACTCTTTTTTAGATTCTATTTCCATATAGGTCATTACAGAATACTATGCTATACAGTGCTATACAGTAGGTTCTTTTAATTATCTATTTTATATATACTAGTGTGTATATATATGTCAATCCCAGTCCCAATCCAATTTATCCCTCCCCCTCTCTTGCTGCTTTTAAATTTGAATGGGGAGCCAGTGCTTTCAGGGAGTTTCAGGGAGAAGGCAGGTTTGGGGACTAAGGCCAAGGATAATCAACAGGGGACAGTATATAGCACTGGATTACTCAAGATGGGCTGGGCTATGCCACAGTAACAATAACCTCCAAATCTTAGTAGATGACCAGGGTTATTTCTTTTTCACACTACATGCTCCTGCCAGGTCAGTTGGGGGTAGAGGGGCAGGAAAAGTGACTTGCCCAAGGTCACATGACTGGTCTGGGGCAGAAGTAGGATGAGAACCTCCTAATTTTTACTGGGCTTTTTACTTTCATCGTCCTTGGCTCAAGCCCTTTGGGAGTGGACCATAGATTCTAAGCCAGAATCTGTGGCAGTTGAGAAAGACCTCAGTGCTTCCAGATTTTAGGGGCCAGTTTAGGACTGAACTATGAGGAAATCTGTCCCTACTGTATCCCTGACCCAGGACCCCATCACTTGAGTGGGTGGGTGGTGGGTGGAGGGGTGTTGTTAGAATGTGCTGATCAGAGAGCCAGTTCTTACTAAGGGATCCTTATCACTATTTCCCAGAGTTTGATTTGTCACCTCTGAGTGGACAGTCACTACTAGATCTGAATCATCAGCTCTCAGCTTTCTCCTGAGCTCAGGACTGGGGCTACTCCTTCCTGCTACTTGGATACAATGCAGTCAACCCAATGGAACTTGTCAAAAGCCAACATCATCCTACCCACCCCTCCACAAGCTATCCATGTTCCCATGTCACCAGCAAGGTATGGGGAGTCACCTTAACTTCTCCTCCCCACATCCACCCAGTCCTCCGACTCCCACGGCTACACTATCCCCCATGGCAGGACTTTTGGGAAGTCATTCTCCTACTTATGATCTCCATCCTCTCCAGCCCTACACGCTGCAAACTAATCTTAGAACCCCACACTGGGACTCCCCTGGCCGTCCACTGGTTAAGACTCCGCACTTTGGGACTTCCCTGTTGGCGCAGTGGTTAATAATCCACCTGCCAATGCAGGGGGCACAGGTGTGAGCCCTGGTCTGGTAAGATCCCACATGCCACGGAGCAACTAAGCCCATGCGCCACAACTACTGAGCCTGCACTCGTGGAGCCCACGAGCCACAACTACTGAGCCCACATACCACAACTACTGAAGCCCACGCACCTAGAGCCCGTGCTCCACGATAAGAGAAGCCACCTCAATGAGAAGCCCGTGCACTGCAAAGAAGAGTAGCCCCCCGCTCGCCACAGCTAGAGAAAGCCTGCGCACAGCAAAGACCCAACGCAGCCATAAATAAATAAATAAAAATTTATTAAAAAAAAAAGACTCAGCACTTCCACTGCAGGGGTCGCGGGTTCGATCCCTGGTCACGAAACTAAGATCCTGCATGCCTCACGGCGTGGCCAAAAAATTTAAAAAAAAAAAAGAACCCCACATTGCACCATCCTCAAAAATCTTCATAGTTTCCCCACTGTCAAAGTGAACTTTTCTCAGCCCCAAATCTAGGTCACATGATCTGACAAGTATAAGAGTAACTACATCAGGGCTTCCCTGGTGGCGCAGTGGTTGAGAGTCCGCCTGCCGATGCAGGGGACACGGGTTCGTGCCCCGGTCCGGGAAGATCCCACATGCCGCGGAGCGGCTGGGCCCATGAGCCATGGCCGCTGGGCCTGCGCATCCGGAGCCTGTGCTCTGCAACGGGAGAGGCCACAACAGTGAGAGGCCCGCGTACCGCAAAAAAAAAAAAAGAGTAACTACATCAAAAGCAAATAGGATTTTGTCCTGGAAGGTATGGTCACTGGAGCCCTTTTTTCACATAATAGCACCAAATGAATTCACTTTGCATTTAAGACCCTTCACCATCTGTTCATCTTGCCGGCCACTAACCTAGCAGTTCAACACTCTTCTCCAACCAAACTAGAGCAAACAAGTCACGGCTCTCCTAATCCTACCACGTTTGGTCTTGCCCCCAAGGTTTTGATACAAACTTCTCCCTGCCTACAGGGCCCTTCTTTCTCTTTTCCCCTGGGCTGTGCCCCCGTGCCCTGCTGTGGTCTAGAGTTTTCTTCACCTATACCAGCTTTGGCACTTCCGGCAGCACTTCTCATCTGAGCCTCTCATTTGGCATTTAGCAAATTAAAGCTTGGGTTTTATAAACTTTATTCTTTTTGCAGCAGGTCCTATCTGACTGCTAATAAAAGCCTTGAAGGAAGAGCCTGCTCTGGACAGGCACGTGATAACAATTGGCTGATGATAATGAAAGGAGAGCCGGCAGTGGACAATGAGACGGGGAGGGGTATATTGGTTATTGGTGGCTGTGTAACAAATTCTGACAAAACTTAGTTTATCAGTCTGGGTCCAATCAAGAGAGAGAAACCACACAGTCATTTGAAGAGGGAGATTTAAAAATAATTTTTACTCCAATCCCCTGTTGTAAATAATAAAGAATTGGTTAGTAAGGAGTAAAGGGAACTCCAGCAGTTGAATAGCAGACATAGAAGCAGCCCTTCCTTACCCCCAGGACTGAGGCTGAAACAGAGCTCCCAGGGAAGAGATATCCACCCCCTACCTCAAGGCTGAAATCCAGACTTTGTTGAGGAGAACACAGCCTGTGGCTCGCTGTATGGCAGAAAAGTCACTGCAGCGTCATACCAGTGGAACGTGCAGAAATCTGCCTTCTTAGATGCCAGGGGAAGTTCTTCATGGGGAGGTGTCGAGCCAAAGGCACTCCACGACAAAACCACCTGAGCAGGGTACAGGAGCTTCCACGTACTGCAGGATCCTGGGGCTGGAGAAACCGTGAGTGCCGCAGGGGCATCCTTGCCGGAGAAGCCACATGCACAGCAGGTGCTGGCTGCTGGAGAAGCTGCAGGAGGTGGGGGCACTCTGCTGACACTGCTGCCCAAGGGGTAGCGCCAGGAGGATCTGCTGGCTGCTGGATGTTGCTGGCCACTCCAGGAGCTGGGCACTGGTGAAGCTGTTTGCACTGCAGAAGCCTGCCAATCAAGCACACTAGAACAGGGAAGCAGAAAACTTTTCCTCCTGCCATGTCTCTCCAGCTCCTTTCCTCTTAACAGTTTAAAACATCAATGAGCCCTTGTTCTCTCTCATAGGAATTCGGGAGCGTCTTGGCATGGTGGTTCTGATTCAGTCAAGTTGTGCTTGCAATCTAGCTATACTGGCCAGGATTGCAGTCATCTGGAGCCTCGACTGGGGCTGGAGGATCACTTCCAAGATGGCACACTCGTGTGGCCGGCAAGTTGGTGCTGGCAGCTGGCAGGAAGCCTCAGGCTTTCTACATATAGGCATCTTCACAGGGATAGTTGAGCGTACTTGTGACACAGTAGCTGGCTTCTCCTAGAGTGGATCATCCCAGAGAGAGCAGGGCAAAAGCTGCTGTACCTTTTCTGACCTAACTTCAGAAGTCATACATTATCACTTGCCCCGCATTCTATCTGTTAGACGTGAGTCACTAGGTCCAGTCCACCTTCAAGACAAAGGGAATTAGGCTCTACCTTTCCAAGAGGAGAGTGTCAATTTGTGACCATTTAAAAACCACCACAGGTGGCATCAAGCAACAAGCACTACGGAATTCCCTGGCAGTCCAGTGGTTAGGATGTGGCGCTTTCACTGCCATGGCCCGGGTTCAGTCCCCGGTCGGGGAACTAAGATCCCACAAGGTGCACAGTGTGGCCGAAGAAAGCAAAACAAACAAAAAATCAACAAGGACTAATGTGTACTCAGCAGCTAGATGCATCTGTCTCCCGCCTGGGAGGGTCTCTGCTAAGGAGAAGAGAAAGTTCATAACCAATAGTTGCCACCCTATCTATCCCACCCCTCGGTCTGCCCTCCAGCTGGTTAGCTTGTTTTCTTTCCTGCAGACTTCTTTTACCTTCAGGCAATTATATTTCCAAAGAAACATCTCTTTCCGTCTTTTCAGTTGATTCTAAGAAGGCTTCATAGAAGAGATGGGCTTGAATTGGATCTTGAGAGAGGGAAGAGCTTTCCACGGTGGGAAACTACTTTACAAAAAGGGAAATAAGAGTTTCCCTCTGATGGGATTACGAGAGGGGCTGGGGTGCTGGTAGATGGTATTTGGCCAGGGAGACTGCCAGTTACTCCTGTAACTGATTTCCTGAAGGAGACGTGTGAGGGACAGAGGTGAGGGAACACCACTGGACGGTTCCAGCAGGACCTCAACACAGGGTCTCAAGCAGACGGGGCTGGAGTCCCCAGCTTTGTCTTAAGACTTAAAGCAGGGTCTCTCCTCTCTAAACGCACATGTTACCACTTCTCCTGTGTAATATGCCCCCCTTGAATGTGAACTGGGCCTAGTGACTTGCTTCTTACAATAGAATATGGCTGTTGGGCTACACCTCTCAGGCCTGAAAGCCTTGTAACTGCCCAGCCTCAAGACTGAAGAAAGAGCTCGGAGTCAGCAATAGAGAGATAGGGGATCTTACATGTCTGAAACAAAAGGTCCTGGAGTGACATCCTACCATATTCCGCAGACGGCAGGAAGGACATGACAGCAATCTTCGCTACTTGGGGGAGAAAGAGGCTACCATTTATAGGGGGAATTGAC